TAAGAATAATGTTCATCTGTGTATATATGGCCCAATTACTTTACGATTTGTGATTTGCACCCAGATAAAACACCAAACAGCATGAACACTCGTAGCTTAAAGTGATTATATTTTCCTCAAGACTAATAATAGGCACCAAGGATGTACCCAGGGCTTGATCAATCAGCATCCTGAGACAGATCAATTTGAGTTGAGAGTTTAATGCTTTCGCTAGCACATCTCCTATCACAGGACGAACCCTCTTCATACTCCGCTATTGACCAATCGCCTTGACTTTGAGGCATTGCCTGACATTGGCTACAACTTAACTTTCAGATGACAGTTGAGGGCACTACATTCTCTTAGACACACTTATGGACACCATCAAGAGCATACTTTTCTGTGGATAAAAAAACTTATATTAAAGAAGTGAAGTTTTATGCAAATACATGTGCTCTTGAGAAAGTGATAAGAGCATAAATTGAGTCTTAATCCAATTTCAGACGAGACGATCGTATGAAATGAATTACTGAAATTACAGTTTATCTCAGGAAAGTAAGAAAACAAACTATGTATTTGATTTGGCTTACAAAATTACAAATACAATTTAAAGTTTTGATTTGATAGGCTTGATGGTTTACAAACATAATATATATATATATGGGTCATGTCATATAATTACTAATGCTTGACATAGCCGAAAGACATCTGTCTCAAATTCTGTAACGATAAACATGTTTATCATGAAAGTTAATGAATCAAAATAAACACGAAGATAAACAGTGTAATGAAAATGAGGTTGGTGTTGTCATGTACGTCACTAAATCTTCACAGTACATTAATTCCACAACATATGTATTCCTCCTTAAGTTTTCATCAGACCAATGAATTATTGCAGTAAGCAGTGAAAAGGGAGCCAGTTATGCCACATGTCATTCTATAGCCAACCTCTCAATCTTTCCGACTTGCATGTGTTGCTTTGGGTGTTCATGTGTACACTTTTTCGGCTGTTTTACTTAAGGTTTGGTTTACAGATTTTATTTGCTAAACCTATCAGGTCAGTGGTTGTGAAAAAACAAATTTGCAGAAACAAATATTTTTCATTTATGGTCACAAGAATATTTGGAAGGCAAAAATAGAATAAAAGGAAAAACTTACAGTGATTATTTGATCAACTACTCAAAGATGTTCTTTCAGTGGAGCTAAATGTTAACCAAAGCCAATTTCTTTGCAATGATAGAAAGCTATTATCTGGAAGGGTATGACAACAAACAGTTGAAACTTACTTTTACAATCTATCATCTTGTGTATACAAGCCAACAGACATCAGATCTCATTTCGCAACTGAATCAGGAAATATACAGTATTCAGTTCCATGAAAATATCAGTAATAAGAATACCTTGCAAAAGTCTACAACCTTATTGTCAAAATGGGAGAAAAGAATATTCTTTTCAAAACTAAATATCAGTAACTTTAACATGTGTAAAACTTAAGAAAAAAGAAGAAAAAACACCAAAATTCCACATTTGGTTTCATGTGCACTTAAACCCTTCTACAAAGCTGGGGCAAGAACTGGTGATGTGTATCATACTGCATGTTGAAGTAACACAAACAAACACCTTGACACCAGCAGAGCTTTAATATGCAAAATATTTATGGAAACTGAGAAGCAGGAGGCAAATATATTTTCAAACCAAATATAGTTCAGTCAGATAACGATCCATAGCCATATAGTCTACCATCAATGCCATACAACAACGGGCGGTCGGGTAGCCTAGTGGTTAAAGCGTTCGCTCGTCACGCCGAAGACCCGGGTTCGATTCCCGACATGGGTACAATGTGTGAAGCCCATTTCTGGTGTCCCCCGCCATGATATTGCTGGAATATTGCTAAAAGCGGCGTAAAACCATACTCACTCACTCATACAACAACCATTCTTTAAGGTTAGGGAGGCACAATGTTCAAAGCATTTAATGAAGGCATTAAGAATGACTATCTGAGATGCTTTGTGTTACTTGGTCTGTGAAACAAGCCAAAATCAATTATGTACTAAACAGTTCATGTCGCTTTCAAAAGTGCCTTGAAAATGACATCACATCATTTCGCAGCATAGAGTAATAAATCTATCCTGTAAAAATGCTGGTCTAACATACTTGTTTATTTTTAATATCGGCAGCAGTAAGAAATTCAGCCTGTTACAGATCATAGTTATGACACATATTGAAGGAAAAGGGGACGTACACTGAAAGCATTCGGTTGTTCCATTTAACAGTGTAGGGCTGGGACAGGTGACTCGGGTACCCAGGTTGGGTGGGTAGTGGGTAGGACCCCGGTACCCACAGGACAACGGGGACCTGTGGTTAGTCACGTGATATATTGTTTAATGACAAAAATGATCTAGAACTCTATGGTTACACTAAAGTCACTAATGTTCACATTTCTTTCTGACTATGCACCCATTCCTTCTGATTTTTCATATAGTTGAATAAAGATATAACTTAATTCAACTTCAGTGTATGAATGACCAGATTGTTTAATACATGTATCTAAATACGTTTTGCCAGGGCTATGCTAAAAATGTCCCCAATCGGACATCTCCTTAGACCTACAGTGGGTACCCAAGTAGGGTCGGGTAATAGGGTGGTGGGTACCCGGGTTGTAAATTTGAACTCGTCCCAGCCCTATAACAGTGCTATGCGGATTTAGCAGTTTTATGATGCTTAATAAATTGCTGATTTCTTCCTTTTGCTTGGGAGCCCTCCTTGTATGTACTACATTGCCTTTTGAGCAATCAATACTCCGATAAAACCTAACTTTGTGTGCATGTTGGTGAATTCTGAGGAAATCCTGCAGACAGAATATAAACCTTGCAATGGTGCTAATCTACCTCCAAATACTTGCAGCGAAGACATTGATTAAAGATGTGGAATGAAATGACACAGTAACTTTACTTGATTCATTTTTTGGAAAACATGACCAAAGGATTCAAACTGTTATCCTAACATTAAAATTTAATTTTGCTACCAAAGTGTTTTAATCATATTTTGTGTGAAAAACATGACTGTGGCCTGCACATATTTGTCTTAGAATATCAGAAGAATGTGGCTGCCGAATTTACAGATTAGGGCTATACAGGATAAAATACAGACTCCTTCACATTGTATGGATTTTAACATACAGAAACACAGAACCACAATTGTTCAGATTTCCAGGGATCGCTGGAAAAAATCATTCTGAAACCTGATCTATCAAAGTCACTTCAACTATAAGTGTTCAAGCAACCAGAGGATCTGCAACCAAATCTATTATGAATTAATGCAGGGATAACTAGGATATTGCTCTTGACAAATCATGCATTGACGGTGGACACGATCTCGAGTAATATAACCAATGTATTCGGGGGGCATAGTCAGCCACAGCATTGCAGTTTGCCTGTGCAGAGCTGTGTCTTATGTCAAGTCATGAGCATGTATTTTTGCCTGATTATGTTCATTGATTTGCCTGTGCCATTCCTGTGTTCACTGGTTTGCCAGTGCCATTCCTTTGTTCACTGGTTTGCCTGTGCCATTCCTGTGTTCACTGGTTTGCCTGTGCCATTCCTGTGTTCACTGGTTTGCCTGTGCCATTCACAACTTCAATGTTTTTTTCAGTGCCATTTCTGTGTTTATTTGTTTCACCAAGTGATAAACATGTGCATCACTTTAGGCTATCCTCCCTTACTGTAATTGAACTACTGTTCAAAGCAGTATCAAAGCAGTTCAAAGTACTATCACAACATACAGTGACAATCCTTCGACTTTAGACTTATGCCAAGGTCCCTATAAACCAAGCCCTGGTGACCTTCGGTTGTGAAGGTCATCCAAGAGGTCACCACCATGTTCAACATATTCAGTAATTAGGTACATGCTTAATTACTCCATGAAAAATAAGGTGGTTATTTACAGTTATTACAGTGGCGCCAAGGTAAACATTGCTACATGCTGATGAGGTTCTTCAAGGTAGCATGCCCTGATTTAGTAGCCATTGAGAATGATGTCGTTCCATACATATGGCTAGTTCCAGACATTACTAAGGTAATAGCTACATGCCCCCGTGGTGTAGAGCCCTCAAAATGTGTAGTCCACCAAACGAAGATAACATATCGCGCTGAAACACATCAATCCTAATTGGTTGTACCTTATTGGTGAGTAATGGGATCATGTACCACACGCAGCACATGCTTAATGGCCAATGTACGATCTCAGACAGCATGTCAGTGGCCAGAAAAATGAAGTAAATTCTGAGCACAATCATGTTATTGTGGGTTACATGCATCATCACTCTCAAGACTACTGCTTATACGTAGAATTATTGAATCAAATCTTCATCAGAACAATTCCACATCAATTTTTTTTTTTTTTTACAAAGCTCATGTTGTATGAGGGAGAAAAGTATACATGTGTTCCAACTGTTTCCGGTGGCAGGTAACTATAATTATCCATTTACTCATACAAATGTTTTTTTTCTCAACTAGTTACATATCTAACAACTTTCAGAGTTGAAAGTGAAATGCTGAGTGTTTCTTGTATCTTGTTTCTCTCTGCCTTATAACAGTAGAGAATGTTGAAAGTATGTAACAGTATCATCATGCACTGATGTATGCATGAACACTCTGTGAGACCAATCATAAGGCAAAATTCATACTTAAAGTGAGCATCAGAACTAAGCAAGAATGTGAATACATGACACTTTTTTATGGATAGCAACTTCTTTTATTCTTTATACGACGTTTCAGAGCTACTTCTTGCACCTGCATCATTGGATGAAGAACAAATGAATAAATGAGCAAGAAGTAGCTCTGAAACGTTGTATAAAGAATAAAAGAAGATGCTATCCATAAAAAGTGTCATGTATTCATGTTCTCCCAACTTCTAATGCCTATCAAAGACTAAGCTAGAATGGTAAACAAGGAGAAGAACAACACTTGTGAACATGGTCCTTGGTTCCAAGAAAATTGATAAATTAGAAAAAAGTGACATACCAGTTTTCTTCCACAATCTTCATCACAGAAGAGCAGGCTTCCTTCACTGGACGGTATCTGAAAACACACGAGGGAGATCATTAAACATGTCAGTGTGATGTTACCAGTAGTACGGTACAACTGTCTCGCCATTTGGATTTACATCTAAAACATAATCATGTCAAACATGATTGCTGAAATGTGATTCAAATGTCTGTCACCAGCAACTCAGAATGACAATTGACATAACAAATCCAAAACAAAAGTTTCATAAAGAAAGTGGGTCACTAGACGGTCCACAATAAGGTGTCACAACTAACTGGGCAGAGCTGCGTCCTTAAAAGCATGCAAAAAAAACCTAAGGATTCCGGGTTCAAATCCCTGTTTCACCCTGATCATATTTCGAGGCTGGTCAGCTCCATACCCATGTCAGTAGGTTTCACCTAAGCTGACAGCGAACTCACTCATACAAATTTTTGCCAAAATGTCCCAATATCTTGGTATCAGTTCATGATATATTTACAGTATCGTAAGGCAGTGCATCAATTTGTTTTAATCAGGTGGTCAAAATTGGTGATGAAGGAGATTATGGACTTGAACTTGAACATTAAGTTGGATCATGTATGGCCTTGAACTTGCTCCTTATAAAACACCACTTTCCCGTACAAACCAGTTTGTAAATTGTTTTTAAAAGGGAATACCTTATTTTGATTCCTAACACACACATTGAATCACTTGAGCCCTTCTGATACAAATCACAACATGGTGCAACAGGATCAACTGTCTGACAGTCAGTTCCTCAATGAATGGCACACTGAACTTGAACAGTCAGCTTATGTATATGAAAGTAATAGACAAAGCGAGTCAAATTGAAGCCAGCATTGTTTGTATTGGAACTGTGTCACAAGCATGTTTGACAAACATAAAATTGGTTGTTTAAATATTTTTGTAGATTTTTTCATATATTTTTCATAGAAAAAGAGGTAAGAAACATTGTGTATCAAGTAGCAGACGCAGAGATTTTCACAAACTTCTACCAGTTTCAGTGTCAAGCAAAGAGTTCAGGAGGCTGGTGATGACTGCAAGGTGCGAGTTTTAGTGAAGTAAAAGTGAACACATAATATTTTACACATCACAACGTGGGATGTGGTTGCTTTGTCTGCAATAAAACAACAGTAAAACATGGGCATGTTTGCAGTGTTTTGACTAGCCTGTCTCACAGTCCCTGAACCATATTATTTTCCCTTCCACAAAGATCTTATTGTAATCTATTGGTCTAAATAAAGCAAGTCTAGATTTTCCACAGGTTCAGCATCCCACTAGGACTCCTTTTCAATTTACATGTAGCTGCTTGTTTCCTTTGAAGTTATATATTTTCAGAGACTAACCCTTAGTCTAGTGTTTCCTGTTTGTCCATGCATATCTCCAGACTGTAACTGAGAGCCATTCTGCCTCGCTGGAAATCATTTTTCATATTGTTGTATGACAACTCTCAAACACACATTCAGTCATATAAACCACACAGAACACCCATCCCTCAGCACCACATTAGCATATTTCAAGTACATCTAAACGAGTCATTTCATGTGGTAAATATTGAAACATTCATCACAAATACAAAGAACATGTTGGAGACAAAAAGAAGCTGGTAAAATTGATTGCAGACAGCACTTATATAACACAAATACACATCCCATTTCCAATTTCATTTTCTGATTGATTATTGACTAGGCAACTCTGTTTTTTCATGTCTGACGGCTTGAAGATTGTGTGCCAACCTTGTGAAAACTCTTCTCACTTCACACTTGGTGAAAATCAGTACACAGCGTCACGTCTTGGTTTTTTTTGTCTGCTAATACAAGTAGCTAAGATTAAGTGTCTAACTCATGTACACCCAAGGCCTAACAAGCACACTTACTCTGAGATACGTACATCACGCTAACATAAGACTTACTTTCTCCAATGTTCCTATTATCACATCAAGCTCAAGTACGTAATATCCATATAAGACAATCACTTTTAGTCATAATGTTTAACAAGAATACAACATAAGTCTCTAATCAGCTAAGCATTTAGGAACAACTTTCTCATACAGATGATAAAACAACACTATTATGAAACTCAACTCAAATTAAATTTTCTAATTAATTTCCCACTATGAACAAGCTGATTCCTAAACATCCATCAACTAAATGTTTTAATCCTTGTACAAATGGATCACAAAAAGGGGGAAATAACTAAAATAATATTTTGTATTAAATACCGGTTCATGCATATTATCTTTTTTTATCAGTCAAACCATGTTGTCAAAACAGGTCACAGCCAGGCTATATCTGACATATCACATAATGAATGCATTGTTCTGCATGCTCCTGTCAATCAATCATCTGGCTACAAAGTAACCCTGGTTCATGTAATACAAGAGCATTCACCCCTTTATTGATTTGAAATGCATGAAATAGACAAGACTTGTCACTCAAAGTGTAGACAACATCGTGTGTAGTGTCACATCAAACACAAATGTATTACCTGTGATGGATATGCTTTTCTTACTACATGTCAAGACAAAATTAATCAGGGTTATACAAATATGAAATAAAGCTTTGGATACTTGATCTATTTGGTAAAATAACTTTAAAATAGTTTGTCATAGATCATATACACCCCAAATGTTACTTGACATTTTGTGTACATTATTAATTCACCTGTTGAAACTATTCATTTCTGTGCAAAAAGCACTTCTACTGCTATGCCGAACAAGATGTATTTGTTTGTTTAATATTTGATTTATAAGTATCTTTCAAGGCTTTTGTTCATATGTTACTAAGACAACACAGGTGATTTGTAGACTTATATGCCAGCTATGACAGTTTGGTAAAGAAAAACGTTCAGCCATGTTATTTTTGAGTGATCAATTAACAGTTTTTCTGCTTCACTTGCCAGTTGCTCCACATCAGGGTGCAACTGCACCAAAGCATCCCTTGCGCATGTCCAAACTCCAATAGTTAACAGCTGTAACCTAAAGAACATTTACAGTGTTTTCACATAAACACTAAACATTGCTAATAAAAATATTAGACTACAGGTTGTATACATCTTGCTTTGAGCATTTTGAGTGACGTATTTATCAAATGCAATACTGGTACGTTTGTTTTCAAGCTTACCATATAGTTACTACCAAATGACAACCAGATGTCCTCAAAAACACAGAGAAATATAACTAGTCACGTTAATACAATTTTTAGAAGAATAAATGATTTAAGGTTTTCATGTGAAGATTCTTGTTTGTGGATAGTGACAAATTTTACAAACAATCCTCATATAACGATGCTACTATGACAATTCAATCCTAATACTACCGGTATTACTAATACCACAAAGACTACAAGTAGTGCTCAGGGGTAGGATTGTTGTGGGAATGAGAAAGCGAAACAATTGTTTCATTGGCTATAGAGGGTTGATCTTCGCAGGCTGGCCATGATGTTGAATATGACAGCCTTGCTATGTGCGTCAAAGCCCCTCTGTCCAGCAAAAGCCATGCAATCAATGAATGTGACAGATATATTTGCTCATCAAACACCCATCAGCATCCAGGGCCTGCCTGGTACTATGTGCAGAGGGACAGCTCCCCAGCCGAGCTGTTAGCAGCAGCAACACATGAATGTTTTCAGGGAGGGAAACTGAGGGACCATCAACACTGAACTTTGTAACACAATACAAGTGTATACAGAAAAATCTACCTGTTTTGTGAAGCTTTTATTTTTTGTAAAAGTAGCTGTGATATTGTCATTGTCCTCAATAATCTAGAAGATTCTGCCATACAAAGGATCTTTCCAATAGGCCAGATACAAAAAGCTTAGGCTTGAGATTTAACCGTTACTGATTCAAGTAGACTGCTAGATGAACATTCCTCTCCCTCACTGATGGGAGCTCTAGGGAAGTCTACTATAGTGCTCTCTTGAGTGAGTGTGTGAGTGAGTTTGGTTTAACGCCGCTTTTAACAGTATTCCAGTTATATCGCGGCGTGTCAGCTTAATGTGGGAGGAAAGCCCGAAGTGATACAGGTCTCAGACGTTTACCACTTCGGTGAAACCCACGAGCACGGGTATGGTGCTGACAAACCTAGAAACATAATCGGGGCGAACCGGGATTCGAACCCACAAACATAGGTTTCTGGCGTACCCAAGGGACGCAACTCTGCACAGCGAATCGCGGCGCCCTAGACGACTGGGCCACCCGTGCCCCCTCTTGAGCATATTCATTCTATTAATGATCAAATATCAAAGTCAAATCATACTTTCAAGACAACTATTATGTGTTTTTTGAAATTGTAATGAAATCTTACAGAATGACAAAAATGTCTTTTGCATATTTTCTTAAGACAAATTATAAATTCAATACTTGTGATATTTATCATGTTTTAACACTATTGCCAAATCAAATTCTAAAATGTATCAATTTAAGATAAGATGAAAGACCATTTATTTGATGATTTGTATGACATCCTTTAATCAGTAAAAACTCAAATATATGTAAAAGATGCCGAGATAGGTTTGACACAGTACAAATCAGTAGCACTTTCATGATGCCTCGTACTACACACACACAGCCTTACCCCAACCAGTAGCATAATCCCCATCTGTGATGAGAAATAGGAATTGGTCTTGTACAAGGGAGATGCCTTCAATCACGCTCTGGACTAAATTAGATTGCAGAAGATTAAACAGATCTCCAAGAGGATAAAATACACCCAAATGTGACTTTCCCACTTGGCCACATACAAAGGATTACCAGATTGATGCTTCACCCATTTTTCACTTTGAGTGAGTGAGTGAGTGAGGTGAGTGAGGTGAGTGAGTGAGTGAGTGAGTGAGTGAGTGAGTGAGTGAGGTGAGTGAGGTGAGTGAGTGAGTGAGTGAGTGAGTGAGTGAGTGAGTGAGTGAGTGAGTGAGTGTGGTTTTATGCTGCTTTTAGCAATATTCCAGCAATATCACGGCGGGGAACACCAGAAATGGGCTTCACACATTGTACCCATGTCGGGAATCGAACCCGGGTCTTCGGTGTGACGAGCGAACGCT